GTGGTGCCCGCCACCACCCTGGGGACCCTGGCCAGGCCGGGCCCGGAGCCTGCCCCAGTCACAGGTCAGCTGCATCCTGGCCCCGGGCCACGCTGGGTGGGAAGGGGGACCCTGGCTGTGCAGGCCCCTGGGGTGGGCAGTGCATGTGTGGGATCTCTGCTCACGCCAGCAGATGGCAGCCTGTCTGCCTGAGGGTGTTGAGTGCCCAGGACCTTGGGGTATGGAAGGCCCAGGAGGAGCCCATGGCTGCTGCCAGCACATCCGCGGGCACAGCCTGGACTGGAGGGGCCAGCTGTGGGTGTCGCCCCGCCCGCTCCTGCCCAGGCCGCCGTCTCCGGCACTGCGCTTGCCCTCGCCCCCACCTTTCTTCCCCCTGTGCCAGTGCCCAGACTGCTGTAGGCCCCTGCGCAGGGACGGGCTGCTTGTACCCGGCAGCGTGGCCTGGCCCTGCCCCCGCGGCTGTGGGCGGAGCAGGTGGCCCTGGTCTGCTAGGGAGAGACAGACCCCAGGCGGGAGCGGGGTTGTGGGGGGGAGTTGGGGGCTGGTCCTTCCCAGGTGGGCACCAGGCCCCAGGGGCTGCCAGGGACCCCTGCTCACTCTGCTGCTTCTCTGTGGCATTCCTCTGTCCCCAAGCAGGACCTGGGCTTGTAGCCGTGCCCCACACAGCTGTCTCAGGAGCAGGCAGGCGTGATGCCTGGGAGGAGCTTGCTCTCAAGGGGCAGGGGACGGGTGGGCAGGGGTATCGCAAGGCAGTCGGGGTTAGGGGACCCAGGGCAGGCCTGAGGTTGGGCACATCTAGCAGGGTGCTGAGACCGCCCCCCAGGCCTGGCCTCATCTGGGTTGGACCCACCGGGGCCTTGCCGAGAAAGCCCATCCGGGTCCGTCAGTGAGGGCGTGGAGTGAGAGCCGCTGTCTGGCGTGCTTGGCCTTGGCACGTGACGGTGCCTCCTTAGAGGGGATGTGGGATGGAGCGCGCTCGGCGGGGTGCTCAGGTCTCAGCCAGCCCCCGGGGCCTTCCTCCAAGGCCATCCCCTCCGCCGGGCCCTTCCTGCTCTGCACTGTTGGGGGACCAGCCCCCTCCAGTGCTAAGGCCCTGTCGTGTCCTGGGTGTGGTGAGTGGAGCTCCACCCCTCCTTTCCCTCCTTCCTTGTGGCCAGGCCGGGCCAGCTGGGCCTGCAGTTGGCAATCGGGCCGGGAGGGGGGCTGGGTGTGGCTGCAGTGGGCGGGGCAGAGGGTACCCGGTCCCCACAGAGGTGACTCAGTCTTCCCTTCCCGGCCACAGCCGCTGGTGGCAGCTCAGAGTTTCCAACAGGAAATGTGCTCCTGCCCCAGGCTCCGGTCTGAGTCAGGGCCGCAGGCGCGGGCCCTCCCTCCCCTCTGCCCGCAGGCTGGGTGTGGCACGCAGCCAGGGCTGGGCCCCAGCCCATGTGGTGGCAGGGCCGTGAGGTCCACTCCCTGCTGGGCTGATTCTAACCCTACCTAACGCCATTAGCGTGTATGAGCCACGCAGACCCCAGCCTTCCCTGCGTGCAGCCCCCGCAGAGCACACACGAGGGCTGGATGGGTGGCCTCCGTCCACCCAACCCTGGCTGGGGGCTGCTTGTACCCAGTCCCTACTTGTGAGGCCTGGGTGGTCTGGGCCCCTGAGCTGTGTACACACGTGCACACACACACACCTGCCACAGGGCACCCCCCCAACACGTGGGGCTGAGCTGGCGGGGGGAGTGAGGGGAGCAGTCAGGTGAGGAAGCGCCCTGAGCTGAGGCCTGGTGGGAGGGGAGGAGACAGCCTGGTGGAGGGAGGCCCCTGCCTGGGGTGTGTGCCTGGTGCAGAAGGCGGGGACAGTTCACCTGTGCGCCTGCGTATGTTCCAGACGGTAACAGGGAGGAACACACGCCCTGTCTCTTGGTGTCCCCTAGGGTCACAAGCCGGGGGTGCACATGGACCCCGACACGTGGGGCGCACATGCAGGTGGCGTGTGGTGGGGTCCTGGCCACGCCCGCGGTGGCCTCGCCTGCTGAGGGGTGTGTAGGACCCAAGCAGATACTCTGGGGAGCAGCGGTGGGATCAGGTCTGTGGTTTTGGGTCTGGCGTGACTGGGAGGGATGCAGGGACTGGGAGACCCTTGGCTGTGGTGCTGCGGGGGCCGGAACCCCTGGTGCCTAGGGCTGACCTGGCCGTGGGCCCCTTTCTGAGGGAATGTGGATTTCGGGGAGGGGTGGGGAAGTGCAGGGCTCTGTCTCCATGTGGCCACGTGGGCATGTGCCAGGCGCATGGATGCCTGGAATGTGGGTGGGTGGGGTGGCAGGGCCCTGCTGGTGAGGCCTGAGAGGGAAGGGGAGGCTGTGGGCTGGGCTGGGCGGGGCAGGCACATTCGGGAAGACCAGTGGGCAGTGGGCTGGGGCCTGAGGGGTGAGGGGCTGTAGCAGGCCCCTGCCCCTGAGCTGGTCCACGTGGTTGGTCCACGAGGTTTTGGCTCTGCTGGGCTGACTGACTAAGGGGTGGCTGTGAGGAGGAGCCACTGCTCCCAGAGCTGGGTGGGGAGGCCAGGGCAGGAGCGAGCCCTCCCCTGCCTCCCACCCCTTCCCTCCTTCCTGCCTGGCCTTCCTCTCTGCCGGCCCTCAGAGAAGCCCGGCCTGAGCGGCAGCCATGGACAGGTACAGCATGGAGGAGCTGATCCAGCTGGGCCAAGGTAGGGCAGGGGGTGGGGGGAGGGACGGATGCCTGCAGCCCTGTCGCGGGGGCATCAGAGCATAGGGATGCAAGGGTGGACAGGGCCCCTCGCAGAGCCATCCCAGGGGGCCGTGGTGGGATGGGCTGGGGGTGTCCCAGAAGTGCAGCTGCTGCTGTCCCAGACCTCCCACTGCCTGCCTGGGGCATTCCTACCCCTAGGAGCCGCTTCTCAGGGCTGTGGGTACAGGTTCCCTGGAGGCTTCCTGCAGCCGGTGGGGTGGCAGGCCTGGAGGGCCCGGGACCATGCATTCTGGCTCAGCCCCCGCCTGGCTGCTGGCCACCTGCCACTCTGGGCTCCACCAGAAACTAAGCCCTCTTTGGCCTGCCTGTGGGTGACCAGTGCTACTGCCCCTCTGGGCTGCCTTATCCAGCCCAAGCCCTGGCCACCCAGAGCAGAAGCATGGGGCTGGGGAGCAGGAGGCCCAGAGCCGCCCGCTGTGGCTTTGCTGCAGGCGCAGGCTGGGTGCCCTGCGGCCCTCCTGGGCTGAAGTCACAGCCTGTGTGACACAGACCAGCTCCTGCCCCTTTGGATTTTTTAGGATGGAAGTTGAGTGGTGTTTAACACATAGGAAGTACCACCGGTGGGCTGAAGGCCGTGTGTCTGGGGGTATCAGGCCCAGGGAGGAGAGGGGAGACGCTGTGGTCCCCAACCCCACACTCACCCACGCGCACACCCATCCTGTTTCCTCGGTGCTGAGGTCCAGGTCAACACCGGACATGGAGGATGTGGCTTGGCTCTGCCTTTCGCACACCGCGGGGGCCTGGTGGAGGGCAGGGCAGAGCACCCCATGCTGGGGCAGGGAGCCTGAGCCCCGGGGCGGGCAGCGTGACCCTGGGTGGGTGTCCTGTCTTGCTGGGACCAGCCGTTGTGCTGAGTGACTTGGCACAGGGCCCTCTGCCTGGAGGGGGAGCAGCAGCCGGGAGGGGTCCGGGGCAGCGCAGAGCCGCTCACGCCGTGTCCTCAGGTGATGGCACAGCCAGGTGCTTCCTCACCGGTAGCATCACCAGGTGGGGGCTCGGGGAGAGTCGCGGCACCCTCTGGCCAGACGGGGCTCTGCGCAGGCCGCGCCCGGTGCCCTCACACTGCACGTCATGTTCTAAGTGTGGACGAGTGACGGGCCTCTCCTGCCCTCCCTGGATATTTATATCCCCCTGGGCCCCTGCCCACCGCTCCCCTCCCCCACAACTGCTGCTGACAGTGCAGGCCGACTGTGCCCTCCTCCCACTGAGCGGAGGCCGCCGCTGCTGGGCTTGCCGCCGCCGCCGAGGGGCCTGTGACCCCACAGCCCACGCCCGCTCCCTGTCTGCCCTGTGGGCTCTGTTGCCGTCCCCAATGAAGGTCGTGCCTGGTAGGTGGGGCGGCCCTTGGGAGTCTGCGGGAGCCCAGCCTGGGCTGGGGGCTGGGGGCTGGGGGCTGGGGGCTGGGGAGAGGCTCCGTCTCCCGCCCTCAGCACAGCCTGCTTCTCAGCCCTTCGCAGACTGGGGACGAGAGGGTGTGCCTTGGCGTGTGGTCTGTTGGCTCTGGGCCTGGGGTAGGGGGCAGCTCTGGTCAGGACACTGGCATCCATCCACCCTCGGCGCCTGGCAGCTGTCTCCAGGGCACCCTTGGGGTATTGGGGCCCCCCTGGTGGGGGCGGGGGGTGGGGGGAAGCCTGGGCTCAGCTCGGGTGGGAGGACTCGGGTCTGGGCTGTCCAGGCTGTGCTGGGGGGGGCTGCAGCCTGGCCCCTCCTCCGGGCGGGTGTGGCTGTGGGTACGCAGGGGTTAAGGCTCTCGCTAACCTTGAGCGTCTAAGCTCTGCGCAGGGACAGCTGAGCTGGGCCGTGTGGGGAGCGTGAGTGGGAGCGGCCAAGAGCCTTGGAGGAAGGAGGGCAGGAGGAGGGCGGGGGAGAGCGCAGCTGGTGCAGCAGGGCCAGGCCGGGCCGCCGTCCCCAGGCTGCGGTGGTAGTGCGGTGGGGTGGCCAGCGGGCAGGCAGGGCGGGCCCTGGTCCCGGGGCGCCCCCTCGCTCACCCTCCGCCCAGGGAGGGGACTGTCTGGCCTTGGAACAGCAGGTTCCTGGCGCAACAAGGGCTGCTGTGCCTGCTCTGCGTGGCGGTCATGGAGCAGTCTGGGAGCCTCTTCCCCTCCCTGGTGGTCTTGGGCCATGTCGTCACCCTGGCCGCCGTGTGGCACTGGCGCAGGGGGCGTCGGGGGCCGCAGGACGAGCAAGGTAAGCACCACTGGCGGCAGCAGCCGCCGTCGCTGCCGCTGGCCGCCGCCCCTGCCAGGATGCTGGGGGCGGGACAGGACGGAGGGTCCGCCTCCCTCCTCCCCTGGCTTTTCCGTGCCCTCCTCTTCCGGTCTCTGAGCTGACTGCCACAGCTTGTTTGGGAAAGCCGCTTGGCCCCCTGCCCCGCCTCCCAGGCCTGTTGAAGACCCTGCCCACTTCTGGGGAGGGTGGGCTCTGCTGGGCACGTGGGTGGAAGGAGAGCCTGGGTGGGCTTTGGATTGAGGACAAGGGTAGTGCAGGGACACCTGTCCCCCAAAGAGAGGTCCCTCCTTAGCCACCGCAGGAGGGGTGGCAGAGGCCGGTGGGTGCCCAGCACGCCGCCTGTGCAGGACTCGGGGTGTGCTGGGCCCGGTGGGAGCCTCAAGGCCTCCTCACCCAGAGTGTGGGGTTGAACTGTGCAGAGGTGAGGCAGGTGCCTGCGTGTCCTCGGCCAGGACCCAGGGCCCAGGACGAGGCAGGCAGCCAGGCTGGACTCTGCCCTCCCCTGCTCAAAGTCACCGGTTCCTGGGTGACAGTCCGAGGCGGCAGCCGTGCCCAGCGCAGGACGGGGTGGGGCTGCGGGCACTGGGCTTCTTGCCGGAGGGACTGCCCTGGGGGACATCAAGGCCATGCTCAGGCCTACCCGCAGACTTGCCCGCCGTGGGGCACTGGCCAGGGCTGCCCCCTAGTGGGCCTGCCTGGTCTCAAGGCTCAAGGGTGTGGGTCGGGGCTCCTGGGCGCCGTCTGGGGGCTCCCAGGAGCCCGTGACTCAGCTGCAGACACAGGACTTCAGTGACGTGCACGGGAGGAGGTGCCTTCCCCAGACGCTGGCCCCTCCTTCCTCCCTCCACCCACTCGGTCCCCTGCCCTGTCCCCGTGTGGGGAAGGGGCTTCCCCTCAGCCTGCACCTGGCTCACTCACTGCCCCCTGTGCTGTGGGGCCAGACCGGACTGTTTCCTGCCCCCTGCGCCTGCTCCGCCCGCACCTTCCTCCTGGGTCCTGCTGGAGTCCAGATGTCTGTCTAGGGGAGTTCCTTGTACAAGGGCATCTCCTGGGGCTGCAGGGGATTTCCCTGGCTGTGGTCCCCATCCCCCGGCCCAGTGAGGTTCTCTCCCTGTGGTTTGGGGCGGGGCTTCCTGGCCTGTGCTGGGTGGGGCCTCTGTCAGGGGCCGGTTCTGCGAGTCTGGGCCTCAGGCCCGTGTTGGCTGGCGGGGGAGGATGCGGAGAGCAGAGCCGGCAGCAGGGCTGGAAGTGGAGACGCCCAGCTTGCCCCAAGGTCCCGTGGGCGACCCCAAGGCCCATGGCTGCGACAGGCGCGTGGAGGGCGGGGGGCACCTTCGCCTTGCAGCGAGAGGTTGTGCTGGAGAGGCCACACTGGCTGGACGGGGGCTGCGAGCAGGCCCGCAGGGGCTACCTCTACCGGCAGCTGTGCTGTATAGGTGCGTAGAGCTCTGATTGGTGTGCAGTGGGGGGCGGTCACCTGGCGGGGCGGGGTCTCTGCGGGGACCTGCGAGCTCGGATGGGGCAGTGCCTAGTCCTCCACACCCCCCTGAGCTCCGGAAACACCTGGGGGTGGGGAGGTGCTGAGGGAGGTCTGCTTGTCTCTCGAGGTGGGGATGGGAGGGGGTGGGCAGGCAGCCCAGCCCGCCTCCCACTGCCTGGGCAGTGGCCTTGGTTGCCAGGCGCCAGACTTTGGGACACGTGGGGTGGGAGGGAGGCACAGAAGGCGGGACTCCAGGCCTCCTGGGGATTCGCGGTTGTCCGCCCACAGCCTTCCTTCCCCACAGGCCTGGGAGTTTCCCTCCCCCATGGAACTGGCTCCACCTACTGTGCGGCCTCCTGCCTGTCACTGCGTCCTCCAAGGGCCGTGGGCAGCTCCTGCCGGGGACGCCAGCAATTCAACACCAGTGCTGGCTGGTCTGGGTGGGCGTCCTGCAGTCCTTGTGGCCTGGGCTTAGCTGGCCTGGGGGGAGAGTGAGATCGAACAGGGTGCACAGGGGAGGGAGGGGCGTCCACAGTAGGCAGGACTGGGAGTGAAGGTTGAAGGGTGGACGATCTCTGAGTCCCTGGGCTCTCTCTGGTAGCTGCCCTGAGAACGTGGGAAACCGCGCGCCTGGGGCTGGGCTGGGGTTCACGTGACAGGCTCTGGCTGCTCCAATTCCAGCTGTTCCCAAGCCCCCCCGCCCCATGCCCAATCCCATTCCATTCCCAGGGCACAGGGTGTCTGTGCCCCAGACTAGGATGACAACCCCATGCCTGCAGGCAGGAGACCCATCCGGTTCCACTGGTCGCTGAACACCGGAGGATCTCTGTGTGGACAGCTCCTGGGCCGGGTTCTTGGGAGGAGCAGGGTGTGAGAGGCCTCAGGGTATGCTGTACGGGGACCACTGACCAGCACGAGCCAGATGTGGGGCTCTGGAAGGTGGCCAGCTGCTGTCTGTGGAGTCACGGGTGGGGCAGCTGGGCCTGTAGCTTGCACTGGGCTCGGGCGTAGTCCAGGCTTGGCAGGTGTAAGACAGTGGCCACGGGCCTGGGGGAGCACCTCCGTCACCTGCCCCAGCTTGGGAGCCCCCCTCCCCACCATGGGGCTTTGGTGCCCTCTTGCGGCCGTGGGGCAGCAGGAGTGGGAGGGTGAGCTGTTCCGGGAACACAGGCTAGGCCCTGGGGGAGGCCTTTCTCAGCAGCCTGCAGCTGGATCGCACACAGCTGGAAAATTCTTGTGGTTGGGTGGTGCATTCTTTCCTACAGTGGCTGGGCGGATGGGGCGGTTCCAGCTGCTGGCCACTGGTGCTCCTTCCTGGACCAGAGGGAGAGGGAGATGGAGACCCCAGCAGGCAGGCCCTGGGGCCTGGCGCCCTTTGCCCATAGCATCCACCTTTACTGCCCTGAGCAGCTGCTATCTGCAGGCCTCACCCTGCCACAAACAGCCCCTCCGCCCGTCCTGCCCCCAGGTGTGGCTTCCTGTCCAGTGAGTCAGCGCTTGCCCCCTTCCCAGCCCTGACTCATTGGCAGTGCCCCTTGGGGGCTTCCCACTGCCCCCCCACCCCCCACCCCCCGCCACCCGCCGTGGGGAGGTGGCCTGCAGTTCCTGGTGGGACGGCCTGCCTGGTGACTCACCGCTCAGCTATGCGCCGCTCTGCCCGAGGTGTGCTCTCTGCCTGCCTGGGCTTGGGCTCAGGGCGGGTGCTGCTCCAGGAAGCCCAGGCGTAGGACCCCTGTGCTGTAGGACGGGGGCCCAACAGGTGGGGGCCACAGAGAGGGGCATGGTCGCTTAATACAGATCTGAGGTGTGATTTAGGGGCTACAAGAAACAGGCCAGCAGCTGGCCCCTCCCCCTGTCCAGGTGTCACTCAAGGTGGGGCTGCTTCTTGGAGTCAGATCCCAGCGGGGTGGTGGGCAGCCTGGGGGTGGCCCTGGGCTGAGGCCTGAGAGAGTATTTTCTGAAGTCACACTCTGGGACCCCAGACTGGGAGGGGCCCTCCTAGTGAGAAGGGGTCCTTCTGAGGGGCTGTATGCGTGGCAGCAGTGCCAGCCCCCCCACCCCTCACCCCACCCCCCGTCTCTAGGTCCTCCCCTGTCCTGCTGCAGCGGGCAGGGTGGGTAAGGAAACCCCGGTTTCCTGTTTCTGGCGGGCTAGGGCGTGGCCTTGGGGGGAGGGGCTGCATTCTCCTTCCCGCTGGGACACTCCCTGCTCTGGGGGGGGGTGGGCAGGGCGAGGTGGGGCGCCTGGGTTGGGCTCCTTGTTAGGGAGCGCAGCAGGCAGGGAGTGGCCACAGGCACTGGTGCTCTGACCTGAGCCTGTGCCTGTGCCGAGAGCGGCCTGTGTGGCTGCAGCCTCTGCTGCCGTGTGCCACAAGGGGCTGCCTGGAAGCCAGCGTCTGAGGCCTGGGCCGGGTGGCCAGGGGAGGGGCAGCCATGTCTCAGCACCGGCTGCGTGTGCCGGAGCCTCAGGGCCTGGGCTACAAGAGGACCAGCTCGGAGGACAACCTCTACCTGGCTGTGCTTAGGGCCTCCGAGGGCAAGAAAGGTAGCGGGCACCCCTGCTGGGCAGGGCAGGGCGGGGCGGGCCTGTGCTGCAGGAAGTCACGGCGCTGGGGCTGGGGGCACCCCGACTCCAGGGGTCTGAGTTCTGGGGACAGACTCAGATGGGACGTAGTGTGTGTGTGTGGGGGGGGCATGGACCAGGCTGGCCCACGGGGGCCCTGAGCCTTGGGTGCAGGCGGGGAGGGTGGGGGCTCTGTGCAGCATGGTGAGGGCTGCTGCCCCGTCTCGGAGCCCCCTCCCCAGCCTGTGTCCCGGCCACGCGGTGCCCTGCTCGTCTCGGGCGGCATGTGGGGCAGGGGCAGGCCGGGACTTGTGTGCCCAGGGCTCTGGGTGCGCCGCCTGCTCTCCTCCCTCCCTCCCTTGGGAGAAACAGGAGGAAGCCTGATAGTGGCGCCGGGCTGGGTCCCCCTGTGATGTGGTGGAGGCCGGGCCCTCGGGCGAGGCTGGGCTGCCTGGCTGCTTTGTCAGCGCAGTGGTCACCTTCTTTCCCCTAGATGAGCGGGACCGTGTCCAGAAGAAAACCTTCACCAAGTGGGTCAACAAGCACCTCATCAAGGTGGGTGGCACCTGCTTGGGGGGGGTCCCCAGGCTGAACAGCCTGGGGGGGGCTGGGGTTGTCCCCGCCCACCCGCAGCTGCCCCACTGCCCGTGTGCTCACCTTTCATCTCTGAAACCGGTTGTTTTCTGTCCTCTCCTCTCCACGCCTGCTCCTGTCTCTTTCCTCTTCCTCCTCTTCCTCCTGGTCTCTCCTGGTAGCACTGGAGGGCAGAGGTAGGTGTCTGTGGGCCGGGGGCATGCTCTGGGGCTTCTGAGGGACCCTCCCTGCCTTTGCCCCTGGGGCTAGTGCCAGCTCCTTGGTCAGTCCCCACCCGGGACCCCGTTGGTGGCTCTGGTGGTCTGTCGTCATCCCAGCCCCCGCTGTCCCTTCAGGCCCAGAGACACATCAGTGACCTGTATGAAGACCTCCGCGATGGCCACAACCTCATCTCCCTGCTGGAGGTCCTCTCGGGGGACAGCCTGGTACGTGTGCCCCTGCCCTCTCCTGTGCCCTGCTGTGTCCACCTGGACGCCCCTGCCTGCCTGCCTGCCCGCCCTCCTCGGGCCCTCTCCCAGCTGCCTACTCTGTCCGGCTCAGCCCCCTTCTGCTTCTTCCCCGGGAGCAGCCCGGCCTCGCCCACGTGCCTCCCAGTCCAGGTGTCAGACCTCCCAGCCAAGGGCCCGACACAAGAGCGGCCACAACCCCAAGCCATGGCCCTTCCGGCCCTTGCTACCCTCCGCACTGGAGCCCTAACACAGTAACCTCATGCTCTGCTCTGCTTTGGTTTCTCTGCTGCTTGGACTCTGAACCTTGACCTCTGCCCTTTACCCTTTGCCCTGCTCTGGCTGGGCAGCCAAGGGAGCGGAGGGAGCGGGACGTAATCAGGAGTTTGCGCCTGGTGAGTGCTTGTGCCCACTGGCCCCGGCGGCACGTGGGCGCCCCAGGACAGCAGAGCCCAGCTCACGGGGGCTGGCAGCCAGTCCACCCCGACCCACGCCTGGCTCCTGGGTGGTAGATGGCTGTGTGTCGGACTGCCTGCTGTCCTGCCTGCTGCAGTACCCGGGGCTGGGCCTGGGACCCACCAGGAGCTGCAGTGGCCACGCCCCCCGGGCAGGAGGAGCACCCCCCCAGTGCCTCTGCCCTCCACCCAGGGCTTCCTGGCTATTGTCTCCTCCCTACCCCTTTCCTTCCTCACCCCAGCTGGGGTCACTGGACTCCCCAAGCCCCTGCTGGGCCTGCCCTGGCCCTTAGGCTGGGGGGGAGGGTAACCCCTGGGTACGGGAGTGGCCACTGCCCTCTGTCGTGGCGGCTGCCGGGGGGCGGTGCCGGGGGCTGCAGCTGGCCTGCAGAGGCTGACCTTCCGTGCCCCCTCACAGCCCCGGGAGAAGGGGAGGATGCGCTTCCACAAGCTGCAGAACGTCCAGATCGCCCTGGACTACCTCCGGCACCGCCAGGTGAGGCCCTGCCCGCCAGGTACCCGCCCCGGGCCGGCCCCGCGTGTGGGCTGAGACCGCTGCCCCCCCCCCCCCAGGTGAAGCTGGTGAACATCAGGAATGATGACATCGCCGACGGCAACCCCAAGCTGACCCTCGGCCTGATCTGGACCATCATCCTGCACTTCCAGGTGGGCCGCTGCCCCCGGGGGCGCCCTGGCGTGGGCTGCCCGATCTGCAGGGTGGGGCGGCTCGGGAGGTGCCCTGCACAGACTCCTTGGCCCTGGGGTGCTGACGGGGCAGGGCCTGCAGGGAAGCTGCTGCAGCTGCCCAGGCTGCCCCAGCTGACTCAGTGTTGCCTGTGCTGGCTGCACAGGAAGCCACAAATCGGAGATCTGGGCAGGCAGAGCCAGGCTGGCATGCGCGCTGAGTCACACAGGCTGCCAGCCGCCAGACAGGGGAGGCCGGGGGCACCCACAAGGGAGGCAGGCAGACAGAACCAGGCCTGAGGGTGGCTCCCAGTGCAGGGCCGGGCAGGGCGGCCAGGGGTGCGCGCCAGCCCGGTCCACAGAGACCCCAGACACTCCGCCTGCAGCCGCAGAGGGGGCGTGGCCTGCTCTACCCTTCCCTGACAGCCTGTCCTATGCCTGGAGGGTCTGGGCCAGCTTTGGGGCCTGCAATGACCCTTGTGCCTGCCGTCCACCACTCAGCTCCGTGTCAGCCTCAGGGGTGCACCCAGAGCTCACGGGAGCCCAGGGCACCTACCTGCTGGTGGCAGTTCTGTGGCAGCTACTGGCTGGAGTGCCCTAGTGTGGCTCGGTATTACGTGGGAGGGGCCCTGGGAGTCTTGCTGGCCAGCCGTGAGCAGTCGTGGTCACCTAGTGGGGTGGGCTGGGTAGGCTGGGCCCCAGGACTAACCCCCAGCCTCCTGCGTGCGCCATGGGGCAGATCTCAGACATCCAGGTGAGCGGGCAGTCCGAGGACATGACGGCCAAAGAGAAGCTGCTGCTCTGGTCACAACGCATGGTGGAGGGCTACCAGGGCCTGCGCTGTGACAACTTCACCTCCAGCTGGCGGGACGGCCGCCTCTTCAACGCCATCATCCACCGGCACAAGTACGTGGCCCCGGGGGCAGAGGAAGCCACAGGAGGGGTGTGTGTGTGTGTGTGTGCGTGTGTGTGTGTGTGTGTGTGTATGCACGTGCGCACACCTGGAACACTTCAGCCAGGAGGCTTCAGACAGATGGGGCAGGGAGGCCGGCGGGATCATGCCTGCCTGTCTGGGGCCTGGCCTGTGGGCATGGGTGTGGGTGCCAACAGCTGCTCCCAGGGGGCACAGGCAAGCAGCCCGACCCCAGCCAGCCCCTGCCAGAGAACAGTGCAGCTTCTTGGAGGCCTGAGGCCTGATGGGCAGGGCGGCTGCTGGGAGCCTCTGCCTGTGTTGCTGTAGGCCTTGGGCTCCCAGGGTGGGGAACAGAGCCCGCTGCTGGTGGCTGTTAGCGGGGCAGGCAGGGAGAGGCAGGGTTGGGGTTCTTCGTTTGTCGGGGTGCGTGACCCACTGCCTGTGTGTCTGCAGGCCCATGCTCATCGACATGAGCAAGGTGTACCAACAGGGCAACCTGGAGAACCTGGACCAGGCCTTCTCCGTGGCCGAGCGGGACCTGGGAGTGACTCGGCTCCTGGACCCCGAGGGTATGAGGGTTGGCCCGGTCCTCCCCTGCCCCCACGTCCGGAAGCCACTCCACAGGCCGCTCTGACCCCACCCCTCCCCCGCAGACGTGGACGTCCCTCAGCCTGACGAGAAGTCCATCATCACTTACGTTTCATCCCTGTACGACGCCATGCCCCGTGTGCCTGACGTGCAGGACGGGGTGAAGGCCAACGTGAGCCTGGGCCCGGAGGGGTGGGGGGGCGGCAGGGCCCGGTTGCCTGGGGCCTGGAGGGGGTGGTGGGCGGTGGAGCCCGGAGGCCCCGACAGCCCTGACGACCCTGTGGTGCAGGAGCTGCAGCTGCGCTGGCAGGAGTACCGGGAGCTGGTAATGCTGCTCCTGCAGTGGATCCGGCACCACACTGCTGCCTTTGAGGAGCGCAAGTTCCCCTCCAGCTTCGAGGAGATCGAGGTGGGCCTGCCTTCCCGGTGGGGAGGGGTCCGTGCCTGCCTTGGCAGGGCTGCTGATGCCCTCATCCCTGCAGATCCTGTGGTGCCAGTTCTTGAAGTTCAAGGAGACGGAGCTTCCAGCCAAGGAGGCGGACAAGAACCGGTCCAAGGCCATCTACCAGTCCTTGGAGGTGAGCGCCGGGCACGCAGAGCCCCGGGGCCAGGGCCCCACTGGAGCTCCACCCGGCCTTGCCTCTAGGACAGGGGCTGTGCTGGGACCAGTGGGCCGAGGACCCCGGGCCTGGTACCCCCACCCCTCTGCCGCTCAGGCCTGAGCTCAGTTTGCTGCCCACAGGGGGCAGTGCAAGCAGGCCAGCTCAAGGTGCCCCCTGGCTACCACCCTCTGGACGTGGAGAAGGAGTGGGGCAAGCTGCACGTGGCCATCCTGGAGCGGGAGAAGCAGCTCCGCAGTGAATTCGAGAGGTGGGTGTGGACAGGCGGCTGCCGGGTGGGGCCCTGTGGTGGCAAGGGAGCCGCAGGACGGTGAGTCACTGCTTGGCGAGGAAATCCCCCCCAGGCAGCTGGGCGCGGGGCAGTGGCCCGCAGACAGGCAGGGAGCCTGCAGCCGGAGGGCAGCCGGCTGTGCGGCGGGGAGCGCAGCGGGCCCACCGCTCACGGCGTCCCGGGGGGCTTGGGGCTGCAGGCTGGAGTGTCTTCAGCGCATCGTGAGCAAGCTGCAGATGGAGGCCGGACTGTGCGAGGAGCAGCTGAACCAGGCCGACGCCCTGCTGCAGTCGGTGAGGGGAGGGCAGGGAGGGGCCAGAGGCAGGAGGGAAGTGGGTGGAACCCCAGAGCCCGGAGAGGGGTGGGCCCACAGGCAGGGGTGGGGCACTCGGGTTCGGGGAGCCAAGCTGAGCTCCTCCCTCCTGGTGCGCGGCCAGCTCTGCCTGTCTGCGCTGGAGGAGAGTTGTTTGGGCAGCAGCAGGACCCAGAGAGGCTGCCCTGCCTGCCCCCGGGCCTGCTCCTCCCCCACAGCACACAGGGCCGCAGGCGCAGGGCTGGGTGTGCCCAGGCCGGAACCTGTAGAAGGGAGGGATTCTGTGGCCGTGAGGGGCTCTCAGTCCTGGACCCAACAGGACTCCTCTGGACTTGACTGGCTCCCTGCAGAGCCAGCAGGTGGACAGTTTGTCCAGAGTGTGTCTGTAGGGCAGGGAGAGAAGGGGGAAGATCAGGGTCCTGGCCAGCTGAGGCCTGGGCCTTCGGGCTGGGGAAGCGGGCAAGGGTGACCACCATGGACAAGGTCCCTGTGTGGTCGGGAGGTGGGCCAGCCAGGCTGAGTCACAGACCACCGCTTGGCAGGATATCCGGCTGCTGGCCACAGGCAAGGTGCCACAGCGGGCAGGGGAGGTGGAGCGGGACCTGGACAAGGCCGATGGCATGATCCGACTGCTGTTCAACGACGTGCAGACCCTCAAGGATGGACGGCACCCACAGGGCGAGCAGATGTACCGCAGGTGGGCCTCCCCCAGCCCTGCCCCGGCGCCGGCCGGCACTGGGCAGCTGGGGCCCGCTGACCTCCCCGACTCCTCCGCCCCAGGGTGTACCGCCTGCACGAGCGCCTGGTGGCCATCCGCACCGAGTTCAACCTGCGGCTAAAGGCGGGCGTGGCTGCCCCCGTGACCCAGGTGACTGTGCAGAGCACACAGAGGCGCCCGGAGCTGGAGGACTCCACCTTGCGCTACCTGCAGGACCTGCTGGCGTGGGTGGAGGAGAACCAGCGGCGGCTGGATGGGGCTGAGTGGGGTGTGGACCTGCCCAGCGTGGAGGCACAGCTGGGCAGCCACCGAGGCCTACACCAGTCCATCGAGGAGTTCCGGGCCAAGATCGAGCGGGCGCGGAACGATGAGGTGAGTGGCGCCTGTTGGGTGGTGGGCGGTGGGCGGTCTGGGGACCCCGCCGCGGGCCTCACCCTCCCTCGTCTCCTGCAGGGCCAGCTCTCACCCGCTGCCCGGGGCGCTTACCGGGATTGCCTGGGCCGGCTGGACCTGCAGTATGCCAAACTGCTGGTGAGCGAGTTGGCGGGGGCTGGGCGGGGGCGGGGGAGGCGGGCCAGTGGGTTGGCATTGGTTCCCATGCGTTCCTCTTGCCCGCAGAACTCCTCCAAGGCCCGCCTCCGGTCCCTGGAGAGCCTGCACGGTTTCGTGGCGGCCGCCACCAAAGAGCTGATGTGGCTGAACGAGAAGGAGGAGGAGGAGGTCGGCTTTGACTGGAGCGAGCGCAATGCCAACATGGCCGCCAAGAAGGAGAGCTACTCGGTGAGGATGGCCGCCCCCCGCCGCGGGAGCCCCTCGGGGCAGACCCCGGCCCCTGAGCCCTTGTGCCCCTTGTCAGGCCCTGATGCGGGAGCTGGAGCTGAAGGAGAAGAAAGTCAAGGGGACCCAGAGTGTGGGGGACCGGCTGCTGCGTGAAGACCACCCCGCCAGGCCCACAGTGGAGGTGGGTGCGGGTGCGGGGCCGGGGGCCCTCCCGGGGCCCCAGGGCGGTGGGGCGGGGCCTGATGAGGCTCCGCCTCCTCTCGCAGTCCTTCCAGGCAGCCCTGCAGACCCAGTGGAGCTGGATGCTTCAGCTGTGCTGCTGCATCGAGGCGCACCTGAAAGACAACACCGCCTACTTCCAGGTGAGGGCCCCCCTGCCCCTAGCCCTCGGGGGCTCCGCGCCCCCTCCTCAGGCCCCTGACCCCTCCCGCCACCCCAGTTCTTCTCAGATGTGCGGGAGGCCGAGGAGCAGCTGCGGAAGCTGCAGGAGACGCTGCGCAGGAAGTACAGCTGCGACCGCTCGGTCACCGTCACCCGGCTGGAGGACCTGCTGCGGGATGCGCAGGTGGGGCAGGCGCAGGGGCAGGGAGGGACTGGGAGGTGGCCGGGGGCCAGCAGAGCTGGTCGTGCACCCCGCTGTGGAGCCCACGGAGGAGTGAGGTGGGAGGCGGTGCTGGGGCTGCTCTTGTGGGCGCGCGCACACCGACAGCCTGCAGGGCCCTGGAGGGCCGAGTGCGCTGGGTGTGGGGCCCGTGAGTCCTGGGGTGGAGGTGGGGGACACCCAGTGGGGTCTCAGCGTGCTCGGCGGACAGTGCTGGAGGGAAGGGGGACCGAGGCTGGTCCCTGTGGTCAGCAAAGGCTGGGCCTCAGCCATAGCGTCATCGGGAGTGAGCGGCAGAGGTGCAGGCAGCTCCGGGCTGAGGCCGCTCCAGGCTGGGCTCTGACCTGTCCTTGGTGGGGTTTGGCCCCCCCATGGGGTTGGGAGGGAGGAGGGAAAAGGATGTCACAGGAGCTACAGCTCAGCCAAGCTGGGCCACCCAGGGGACGTGGGGACGGCTGTGGGCAGTGGGGGCTCCAGACCTGGTCAGAAAGGACATTGTCAGCGGCATCTCTCCGGGGACCAAGCCTCGCCTCTCGGCTCCCCGTGTCCCCAGCCCACAGCACTGGGAGGAACGCACAGATCTGGCCATCCCCAGATCTGGGTGGGTCCTGTGCTCCCGGGTGCCAGGCGTGTCGCCCTTAGCTGCCCCTCCCCTACAGGATGAGAAGGAGCAGCTCAACGAGTACAAGGGCCACCTCTCAGGCCTGGCAAAGCGGGCCAAGGCCATCGTGCAGCTGAAACCACGCAACCCAGCCTACCCCGTGCGCGGCCACATACCCCTCCTGGCTGTGTGTGACTACAAGCAGGTGGAGGTGAGGGCTGTGCCAGGCGGGGCCCCCGTGGGCGGGGTGAGCGGGCCTGTGGGTGTGGCCACATCGTCACTGACTCTGACGTCCCAGGTGACCGTGCACAAGGGTGACGAGTGCCAGCTGGTGGGCCCCGCCCAGCCGTCCCACTGGAAGGTGCTCAGCGGTTCCGGCAGCGAGGCAGCCGTGCCGTCTGTGTGCTTTCTCGTGCCGCCCCCCAACCTGGAGGCCCAGGAGGCTGTGGCCAGGTGGGTGGCCCAGGGAGCTACAGCTGGAGTGGGCGGGCAGCGGTGGGGCCCCAATGGCCCTGACTCTGGCCCTCACCTGCCAGGCTGGAGGCCCAGCACCAGGCCCTGGTCACGTTGTGGCACCAGCTGCACGTGGACATGAAGAGTCTTCTGGCGTGGCAGAGCCTCAGCCGTGATGTGCAGCTGATCCGCTCCTGGTCCCTGGTTACGGTACGGTGACGCGCTGGCCACGGGCACTTGGTGGGGGAGAGGCGGGGCCCCCCTCCATGCTCAGACCCGTGCCCTCCCCACCAGTTCCGCACCCTGAAGCCGGAGGAGCAGCGCCAAGCCCTGCGCAGCCTGGAACTGCACTACCAGGCTTTCCTGCGGGACAGCCAGGATGCAGGGGGCTTCGGGCCTGAGGACCGGCTCACGGCCGAGCGCGAGTACGGCTCCTGCAGCCGCCACTACCAGCAGCTGTTGCAGAGCGTGGAGCAGGGTAAGGAGCGGGCAGCACCCGGGGGTGGGCACGGGGGCCGGGCAGCCGCGTGACCAGACCCGCCCCCAGGTGAGCAGGAGGAGTCCCGCTGTCAGCGCTGCATCTCAGAGCTCAAGGACATCCGGCTGCAGCTGGAGGCCTGCGAGACCCGCACGGTGCACCGCCTGCGGCTGCCGCTGGACAAGGAGCCCGCGCGGGAGTGCGCCCAGCGCATCGCCGAGCAGCAGGCAGGTGCCCCTCCCCTCCCCTCCCCTCCGCGGGCGCCGTGCATTGGGCCGGGCCATGGTGGTCAGCGTGCTCCCTGCTCGCTTCCTCCTCAGAAAGCGCAGGCCGAGGTGGAGGGGCTTGGCAAGGGGGTCGCCCGGCTCTCTGCCGAGGCCGAGAAGGTCCTGGCGCTGCCCGAACCTTCGCCCGCCGCCCCTACTCTGCGTTCGGAGCTGGAGCTGACACTTGGCAAGCTGGAGCAGGTCCGCAGCCTGTCTGCCATCTACCTGGAGAAGTGAGTGTGGGGGCGGGGGCTGTGCCTGAAGTGAGTGTGGGGGGCGGGGGCTGTGCCTGGAGAAGTGAGTGTGGGGGCCGGGTCATGGCGGGGGGCTGTGCCTGGGGAAGTGAGTGTGGGGGGCCGGGGTCATGGCGGGGGGCTGTGCCTGGAGAAGTGAGTGTGGGGGGCCGGGGCCCGGGCGGGGGGCTGTGCCTGGGGAAGTGAGTGTGGGGGCTGGGCCCGGGCGGGGGGCTGTGCCTGGGGAAGTGAGTGTGGGGGCTGGGTCATGGCGGGGGGCTGTGCCTGGAGAAGTGAGTGTAGGGGCGGGGGACTGTGCCTGGAGAAGTGAGTGTGGGGGCCGGGTTGTGGTGGGGGCTGTGCCCAGAGAAGCGCCCTGAGCCAAGGAAGGCCCATGGGGAATTGGAGTTGTCTGGCCAGGAGATAAGGGGCTCAGAGCTGGTGGCTGAGGAGGTGGCAGCCACAGGACTTCCCAGGGATACCTGCCTTTGGGGGTAGAAGGGAGGGGTGGGGAGGGGGGCAGACCCAAGGAGGAGCTAGAGGTCAGGAGGGTGCACACATCCCTGGGTAGTGGGTTCAGAGTGGGGAGGGGTGGTCACACAGCAGGGGGTTCTGCAGGCTCCAAGGGATGGCTTCTTGGGCGGCAGCAGGTGCAGAGGGTGGGACAGTGGAGGCACGAGGGGCAGTGTAACCAGCCTTCCGTGCCCTACAGTGTCCTCCCCTTGCCCGGGGCCCACAGGGCAGTGCCCAGGCCCCCTCTTCTGCCTGCCCTCAGTCCCCAGTCCAGCCACAAGGCCTCAGCTGTCCTTGCTTTGCTGTGTGTTTCTGTGCATTCCTGGGGACCGGCTTTCAGAGGTGCCGTGGGAGGCCTGCCTGCATGCCTGCCCTGTCGATTCTGACTGGCCTCCAGGGGCCTCCAGGGGCCCCGAGCGGCCCACCTGCTATTTCAGGGTCTCCTGCTGTGTGGTCAGCACTGCGTCCCATTTTATCCCTTTGTGCACAAACAGTGTGTTGGAGGGGAGGGTCGCAGGCTGCTGTGGGTGCCCTTTCCACACTGAGTGTCTGGCTCACCCAGTGTGGGCTGGACCGTGAGGACCACACTGCCGCCAGCCAGCTCCACCTGCCCAGGCCTTTGTGTGGCCTCTGTGCAAGTCTTCAGGCTGGAGCTTGGTGTCCCTGAGCACCTCCTCGTGTCTGTTCTCCCTGAAGCCTGTGGCCACGGGACGCTGGCCTGGACGGAGTGCGGCCCGGCAGGCAGCGTCCCGCTCCCTGGGGCTCTGGCCCCACCGCTGTGGGCCTGCCTCTCCAGACGCAGCCGTCCTGACCGAGCCCTCCCTTCCGCAGGCTCAAGACCATCAGCCTGGTGATCCGCAGCACCCAAGGTGCCGAGGAGGTGCTCAGGACCCACGAGGAGCAGCTCAAGGAGGCGCAGGCCGTGCCTGCCACCCTCCCGGAGCTCGAGGCCACCAAGGCCTCGCTGAAGGTACTGGGACCGGACTCATGCCTGAGCGGGTGCGGGGCGTGCGTGGCGGGGGTCCCTGGCTGAAATGGCTTCCGCGCCTCCTCACTGCAGAAGCTGCGGGCCCAGGCAGAGGCTCAGCAGCCCGTGTTCGACGCCCTGCGGGACGAGCTGCGGGGGGCGCAGGAGGTGGGCGAGCGGCTGCAGCAGCGGCACGGCGAGCGGGACGTGGAGGTGGAGCGCTGGCGGGAACGGGTCCAGCAGCTGCTGGAGCGCTGGCAGGCTGTGCTGGCCCAGACCGACGTGCGGCAGCGCGAGCTCGAGCAGCTGGGCCGCCAGCTGCGCTACTACCGCGAGAGCGCGGACCCGCTGGCCGCCTGGCTGCAGGATGCCAAGCGGCGGCAGGAGCAGGCCCAGGCCGTGCCGCTCGCCAACAGCCGAGATGTGCGGGAACAGCTGCGACAGGAGAAGGTGGGCCCGGTCAGGGTGGGTGGGGGTAGGGGGCACGCCTGCGCCTGGCTGTGCTGACCACCGCCCCCCCCCCCCCAGGCCCTGCTGGAGGAGATTGAGCGGCATGGCGAGAAGGTTGAGGAATGCCAGAGGTTCGCCAAGCAGTACATCAATGCCATCAAGGTGTGGCCCCCAGGCCTGGCCACGCGGGGAAGCCCATGGGTGGGTGCTGGGGGGCAGGCCTGGGGGGCGGAGCCAGTGACCGACCGCAGCGTGCGCCCACAGGACTACGAGCTGCAGCTGGTCACGTACAAGGCACAGTTGGAGCCAGTGGCGTCCCCAGCCAAGAAGCCCAAGGTCCAGTCTGGCGCAGAGAGCGTCATCCAGGAGGTAGGACCAGGGCCAGCGGGCCTGAGCTGGGTGAGGGGCTGGTTGGGCCCCACGGGGATGTGGCTCCGGGCAGGCCTCACCCTGGCGCTCCCTCCCGCCAGTACGTGGACCTGCGCACGCGCTACAGCGAGCTGACCACGCTCACCAGCCAGTACATCAAGTTCATCAGCGAGACCCTGCGGCACATGGAGGAGGAGGAGGTACAGCCGGGTGGGGGTGGGGGTTGGGGTGGGGGCCGGTGGGCATGGGGAGGCCATCCTGCCGCCTGCTCCACCCCAAACGCAGCGCACAGGAGCCCGTCCCAGGCTGTTAGCTGGTGGTAGCTCTTCCTACTGCTGCTGCCTGGTGCCACGTGGTGCCTGTCCCCCAGCACGCCACCCCAGGCTGCCTCACCGGCGGCCCTCCCTGGCCTGGTGCTGTGCTGCTCCCTGCGGTGGCTGGCGCCCCTCTCTCCTCTGTGCCGCCCCTCCTGCTTCCCACTGACCCTCCTGCGGCGTCTGCGCTGGTCTCCTTGCCTGGGCCCCTTTGGGAAGCCAGGCAGGCAAGGTGTTCAGCAGGCGGTTCCTCCTTGCCTTCCCGGGCCCCGCCGCCGTTGGGCCTGCCTGCAGCCAGCCCTGCCTTCTCTGCTTGAGCTGCAGGCTCCAGGGCCCCCCCCCCCTCTGGAGCTGGCTTAGGTCCGCACCGCCGGGTTAGGGTTGGGTGGGGTCAGGGGCCCTGTGGTAAGAGCCAGGCCCCAGTGTCCAGCAGAGCCCAGGCGGTCTGTGCGGAGGGTGTGGCTTGTGGGCCCCACGAGCCTCCTGCTTTGCTCTCTTTCTCTCTCCCCCATCTGTCTGTCTGTCTCCGTCGCCTGTCTGCGGGAAGAGGGGAGGACGCCTGGGCCTCCTTCCCCAGGCTGGTGAGCATGGTGGGGCCAGCTGCGCTCACTGCCTGAGTGCCCTGGGCGGGTGCACGCTGTCTCCTCGGCCGGGCCGGGACCTCTGTCCTCCCTGACCCCTGCGCACCGCGCTGTCCGAGTGAACTGTGGTGGTGCCGTGTCACGTGACCCGTCTGGCGCCTGCTCCGGGCTCACGCTCTTTCTGGTTCTCTTCCTCTCTGCCACGGCCGCAGAGGCTGGCAGAGCAGCAGCGAGCCGAGGAGCGGGAACGGCTGGCCGAGGTGGAGGCCGCGCTGGAGAAGCAGCGGCAGCTGGCCGAGGCACACGCGCAGGCCAAGGCGCAGGCGGAGCGGGAGGCGCAGGAGCTGCAGCGACGCATGCAGGAGGAGGTGGCTCGGCGGGAGGAGGCGGCGGTGGACGCACAGCAGCAGAAGCGCAGCATTCAGGAGGAGCTGCAGCACCTGCGGCAGAGCTCGGAGGCCGAGATCCAGGCCAAAGCCCAGCAGGTGGAGGCGGCGGAGCGCAGCCGGGTGCGCATCGAGGAGGAGATCCGCGCCGTGCGCCTGCAGCTGGAGACGACCGAGCGCCAGCGCAGCGGGGCCGAGGGTGAGCTGCAGGCGCTGCGCTCGCGGGCGGAGGAGGCCGAGGCGCAGAAGCGGCAGGCACAGGAGGAGGCCGAGCGCTTGCGCCGGCAGGTGCAGGAGGAGAGCCAGCGCAAGCGGCACGCGGAGGCGGAGCTGGCCCTGCGCGTCAAGGCCGAGGCCGAGGCCGCCCGGGAGAAGCAGCGGGCCCTGCAGGCGCTGGAGGAGCTGCGGCTGCAGGCCGAGGAGGCGGAGCGGCGGCTGCGGCAGGCCGAGGCGGACCGGGCCCGCCAGGTGCAGGTGGCCCTGGAGACGGCGCAGCGCAGCGCCGAGGCGGAGCTGCAGAGCAAGCGGGCCTCCTTCGCGGAGAAGACGGCCCAGCTGGAGCGCACCCTGCAGGAGGAGCACGTGGCCGTGGCGCAGCTGCGCGAGGAGGCCGAGCGGCGGGCGCAGCAGCAGGCGGAGGCCGAGCGTGCCCGCGAGGAGGCCGAGCGGGAGCTGGAGCGCTGGCAGCTGAAGGCCAACGAGGCGCTGCGGCTGCGGCTGCAGGCAGAGGAGGTGGCGCAGCAGAAGAGCCTGGCGCAGGCCGAGGCCGAGAAGCAGAAGGAGGCGGCAGAGCGCGAGGCGCGCCGGCGGGGCAAGGCGGAGGAGCAGGCCGTGCGGCAGCGGGAGCTGGCCGAGCAGGAGCTGGAGAAGCAGCGGCAGCTGGCTGAGGGCACCGCGCAGCAGCGCCTGGCCGCGGAGCAGGAGCTCATCCGGCTGCGGGCCGAGACCGAGCAGGGGGAGCAGCAGCGGCAGCTGCTGGAGGAGGAGCTGGCCCGGCTGCAGCGCGAGGCGGCCGCGGCCACGCAGAAGCGCCAGGAGCTGGAAGCCGAGCTGGCCAAGGTGCGAGCCGAGATGGAAGTGCTGCTGGCCAGCAAGGCCCGGGCCGAGGAGGAGTCGCGCAGCACCAGCGAGAAGTCCAAGCAGAGGCTGGAGGCCGAGGCCGGCCGCTTCCGCGAGCTGGCCGAGGAGGCCGCGCGCCTGCGCGCCCTGGCGGAGGAGGCACAGCGGCAGCGGCAGCGGGCGGAGGAGGACGCGGCACGGCAGCGGGCGGAGGCCGAGCGCGTGCTCGCCGAGAAGCTGACCGCCATCAGCGAGGCCACGCGGCTCAAGACGGAGGCAGAGATAGCGCTCAAGGAGAAGGAGGCGGAGAACGAGCGCCTGCGGCGGCTGGCGGAAGACGAGGGCTTCCAGCGGCGGCGGCTGGAGGAGCAGGCGGCGCAGCACAAGGCTGACATCGAGGAGCGCCTGGCCCAGCTGCGCAAGGCCTCCGAGAGCGAGCTGGAGCGGCAGAAGGGCCTGGTGGAAGACACGCTGCGGCAGCGGCGGCAGGTGGAGGAGGAGATCCAGGCGCTGAAGGTGAGCTTCGAGAAGGCAGCGGCGGGCAAGGCGGAGCTGGAGCTGGAGCTGGGGCGCATCCGCAGCAGCGCCGAGGACACGCTGCGCAGCAAGGAGCAGGCGGAGCTGGAGGCCGCCCGGCAGCGGCAGCTGGCGGCCGAGGAGGCCCAGCGGCGCCGCGAGGCCGAGGAGCGCGTGCAGAAGGGCCTGGTGGCCGAGGAGGAGGCCGCCCGGCAGCGCAAGGCCGCGCTGGAGGAGGTGGAGCGGCTCAAGGCCAAGGTGGAGGAGGCCTGGCGCCTGCGGGAGCGGGCGGAGCAGGAGTCGGCGCGGCAGCTGCAGCTGGCCCAGGAGGCGGCCCAGAAGCGCCTGCAGGCCGAGGAGAAGGCGCACGCCTTCGCCGTGCAGCAGCGGGAGCAGGAGCTGCAGCAGACGCTGCAGCAGGAGCAGAGCATGCTGGAGCGGCTGCGTGGCGAGGCCGAGGCGGCGCGGCGCGCGGCCGAGGAGGCCGAGGCGGCGCGGGAGCAGGCCGAGCGCGAGGCTGCCCAGTCCCGGCAGCAGGTGGAAGAGGCCGAGCGGCTGAAGCAGACGGCAGAGGAGCAGGCGCAGGCCCGGGCGCAGGCGCAGGCCGCCGCGGAGAAGCTGCGCAAGGAGGCCGAGCAGGAGGCGGCGCGGCGGGCGCAGGCGGAGCAGGCGGCTCTGCGGCAGAAGCAGGCGGCCGACGCGGAGATGGAGAAGCACAAGACGTTCGCGGAGCAGACGCTGCGGCAGAAGGCGCAGGTGGAGCAGGAGCTGACGACGATGCGGCTGCAGCTGGAGGAGACGGACCACCAGAAGCGCATCCTGGACGAGGAGCTGCAGCGGCTGAAGGCGGAGGTGACGGAGGCAGCCCGGCAGCGCGGCCAGGCCGAGGAGGAGCTCTTCTCCCTGCGGGTGCAGATGGAGGAGCTGGGCAAGCTCAAGGCTCGCATCGAGGCCGAGAACCGCGCGCTCATCCTGCGCGACAAGGACAACACGCAGCGCTTCCTGGAGGAGGAGGCCGAGAAGATGAAGCAGGTGGCCGAGGAGGCCGCCCGGCTGAGCGTGGCGGCGCAGGAGGCGGCGCGGCTGCGGCAGCTGGCCGAGGAGGACCTGGCGCAGCAGCGGGCCCTGGCGGAGAAGATGCTCAGGGAGAAGATGCAGGCGGTGCAGGAGGCCACGCGGCTGCGGGCCGAGGCCGAGCTGCTGCAGCAGCAGAAGGAGCTGGCGCAGGAGCAGGCCCGGCGGCTGCAGGAGGACAAGGAGCAGATGGAGCAGCAGCTGGCGGCGGAGACGCAGGGCTTCCAGCGGACGCTGGAGGCGGAGCGGCAGCGGCAGCTAGAGATGAGCGCCGAGGCGGAGCGCCTCAAGCTGCGCGTGGCCGAGCTGAGCCGGGCCCAGGCCCGCGCCGAGGAGGACGCCCAGCGCTTCCGGAAGCAGGCGGAGGACATCGGCGAGAAGCTGCACCGCACCGAGCTCGCCACCCAGGAGAAGGTGACGCTGGTGCAGACGCTGGAGGTGCAGAGGCAGCAGAGCGACCGCGACGCCGAGCACCTGCGGGAGGCCATCGCCGAGCTGGAGCGCGAGAAGGAGAAGCTCAAGCAGGAGGCCAAGCTGCTGCAGCTCAAGTCCGAGGAGGTACCGGCCCCCGGCGTGCAGGCGGGCAGGCCCGGGTGTGCCCCTGGGGTGGGTGGCGGGCGTGCCGGGGCCCCCGTGGGTGCTGACGCGCCGCGCCTGCCTTCCCTCCCGCTCCCCCTAGATGCAGACGGCGCAGCAGGAGCAGATGCTGCAGGAGACGCAGGCCCTGCAGCAGAGCTTCCTGTCGGAGAAGGACCGCCTGCTGCAGCGGGAGCGCTTCGTGGAGGAGGAGAAGGCCAAGCTGGAGAAGCTGTTCCAGGACGAGGTGGCCAAGGCCCAGCTGCTGCGCGAGGAGCAGCAGCGGCAGCAGCAGCAGATGGAGCAGGAGAGGCAGCAGCTGGCGGCCAGCATGGAGGAGGCCCGGCGGCGGCAGCACGAGGCCGAGGAAGGCGTGCGGCGCAAGCAGGAGGAGCTGCAGCGCCTGGAGCAGCAGCGGCAGCAGCAGGAGAAGCTGCTGGCCGAGGAGAACCAGCGGCTGCGCGAGCGGCTGCAGCGCCTGGAGGAGGAGCACCGGGCCGCGCTGGCGCACTCCGAGGAGATCACCGCCCTGCAGGCCGCCGCCGCCGCCAAAGCCCTGCCCAACGGCCGGGAGGTGCCCGATGGCCCGGCCGCGGCGGCGGAGCCCGAGCACACCTTCGAGGGCCTGCGGCGCAGGGTGCCGGCCCAGCAGCTGCAGGAGGCGGGCATCCTGAGCGGCGAGGAGCTGCAGCGGCTGGCGCAGGGCCGCACAACGGTGGCCGAGCTCGCGCGGAGGGAGGACGTGCGGCGCTACCTGCAGGGCAGCAGCAGTGTCGCTGGGCTGCTGCTCAAGCCCACCGGCGAGAAGCTGAGCGTGTACGCGGCCCTGCGGCGGCAGCTGCTGAGCCCGGGCACTGCCCTCATCCTGCTGGAGGCCCAGGCGGCCTCAGGTTTCCTGCTGGACCCCGTAGGGAACCGGCGGCTGACCGTCAACGAGGCCGTGAAGGAGGGCGTGGTGGGCCCCGAGCTGCACCACAAGCTGCTGTCAGCCGAGCGCGCCGTCACGGGCTACAAGGACCCCTACACGGGCGAGCAGATCTCGCTCTTCCAGGCCATGCAGAAGGACCTGATCGTGCGCGACCACGGCATCCGGCTGCTGGAGGCGCAGATCGCCACGGGCGGCATCATCGACCCCGTGCACAGCCACCGCCTGCCCGTGGGCGTGGCCTACGAGCGCGGCTACTTCGACGAGGAGATGAACCGCGTGCTGCAGGACCCGAGCGACGACACCAAGGGCTTCTTCGACCCCAACACGCACGAGAACCTCACCTACCTGCAGCTGCTGGAGCGCTGCGTGGAGGACCCCGAGACGGGCCTGCGCCTGCTGCCGCTCACAGATGCGGCCGCCAAGGGCGGGGAGCTTGTCTACACCGACTCCGAGGCCCGGGACGTCTTTGAGAAGGCCACCGTGTCGGCGCCGTTCGGCAAGTTCCGGGGCAAGACGGTGACCATCTGGGAGATCATCAACTCGGAGTACTTCACGGCCGAGCAGCGGCGGGACCTGCTGCGGCAGTTCCGCACGGGCCGCATCACGGTCGAGAAGATCATCAAGATCGTCATCACTGTGGTGGAGGAGCACGAGCAGAGGGGCCAGTTGTGCTTCGAGGGGCTGCGCGCCCTGGTGCCCGCCGCCGAGCTGCTGGACAGCAAGGTCATCGACCACGACCTCTACCGCCAGCTGCAGCGCGGCGAGCGCTCCGTGCGGGAGGTGGCCGAGGTGGATGCCGTGCGGCGGGCCCTGCGGGGCACCGGTGTCATCGCGGGGGTGTGGCTGGAGGAGGCAGGGCAGAAGATGAGCGTGTACGAGGCCCTGAGGAAGGACCTGCTGCAGCCGGACGTGGCCGTGGCCCTGCTGGAAGCCCAGGCCGGCACCGGGCACATCATCGACCCCGCCACCAGCGCTCGGCTGACCGTGGACGAGGCCGTGCGAGCCGGCCTGGTGGGTCCTGAGCTGCATGAGAAGCTGCTGTCGGCCGAGAAGGCCGTGACGGGTTACAGGGACCCCTACTCGGGGCAGAGCGTCTCCCTGTTCCAGGCCCTGAAGAAAGGCCTCCTGCCCCGGGAGCAGGGCCTGCGCCTGCTGGACGCCCAGCTGTCCACGGGGGGCATCGTGGACCCCAGCAAGAGCCACCGTGTGCCCCCTGATGTCGCCTGTGCCCGGGGCTACCTGGATGAGGAGACCAGTAGGGCCCTGTCGGCACCCGCAGATGACGTCAAGGCCTACCTCGACCCCGGCACGCGGGAGCCGGTCACGTATAGCCAGCTGCAGCAGCAGTGCCGGGCTGACCAGCTGACCGGGCTGAGCCTGCTGCCACTCTCTGAGAAGGCCGCCCGGGCCCGGCAGGAGGAGGTCTACTCTGAGGCCCAGGCCCGGGACACCTTCGAGAAGGCCGCGGTCGAGGTCCCGGTGGGCAGCTTCAAGGGCCGGCCGGTGACGGTGTGGGAGCTCATCAGCTCCGAGTACTTCACGGAGGAGCAGCGGCAGGAGCTGCTGCGGCAGTTCCGCACGGGCAAGGTCACCGTGGAGAAGGTCATCAAGATCCTCATCACCATCGTGGAGGAGGTGGAGACCCGGCGGCAGGAGAGGCTGTCCTTCAGCGGCCTCCGCGCCCCCGTGCCGGCCAGTGAGCTCCTGGCCGCCCGCGTCCTCAGCAGAGCCCAGTTCGAGCAGCTCAGGGATGGCAAGACGTCGGTCAAGGACCTCTCGGAGGTGGACTCCGTGCGCACGCTGCTACAGGGCAGCGGCTGCCTGGCCGGCATCTACCTGGAGGACTCCAAGGAGAAGGTGACCATCTACGAGGCCATGCGCCGGGGCCTGCTGCGGCCCAGCACGGCCACGCTCCTGCTCGAGGCACAGGCAGCCACTGGCTTCCTGCTGGACCCCGTGCGGAACCAGCGCCTCTACGTCCACGAGGCCGTGAAGGCAGGTGTGGTGGGCCCCGAGCTGCACGAGAAGCTGCTGTCGGCGGAGAAGGCCGTCACAGGCTACAAGGACCCCTACTCGGGCTCCACCATCTCGCTCTTCCAGGCCATGAAGAAGGGCCTGATCCTGAAAGACCACGGCATCCGGCTGCTGGAGGCGCAGATCGCCACGGGCGGCATCATCGACCCCGTGCACAGCCACCGGCTGCCCGTGGACGTGGCCTACGAGCGCGGCTACTTCGACGAGGAGATGAACCGCGTGCTGCAGGACCCGAGCGACGACACCAAGGGCTTCTTCGACCCCAACACGCACGAGAACCTCACCTACCGGCAGCTGCTGGAGCGCTGCGTGGAGGACCCCGAGACGGGCCTGCGCCTGCTGCCGCTCAGGGGCGCTGAGAGGGCCGAGGTGGTGGAGACCAAGCAGGTGTACACCGAGGAGGAGACCCGGAGGGCCTTCGAGGAGACGCAGATCGACATCCCTGGCGGCGGCAGCCACGGCGGCTCCACCATGTCCCTGTGGGAGGTGATGCAGTCGGACATGATCCCCGAGGAGCAGCGGGCCCGGCTGCTGGCCGACTTCCAGGCCGGCCGCGTGACCAAGGAGCGCATGATCATCATCATCATCGAGATCATCGAGAAGACGGAGATCATCCGGCAGCAGAACCTGGCCTCCTACGACTACGTGCGCCGCCGCCTCACCGCCCAGGACCTCTACGAGGCCCGCATCATCTCCCTGGAGACCTACAACCTGCTCCGCGAGGGCGCCCGCAGCCTGCGGGAGGCCCTGGAGGCCGAGTCTGCCTGGCGCTACCTCTACGGCACAGGCTCCGTGGCCGGGGTCTACCTGCCCGGCTCCAGGCAGACTCTGACCATCTACCAGGCCCTGAAGAAGGGGCTGCTAAGCGCGGAGGTGGCCCGCCTGCTGCTGGAGGCCCAGGCGGCCACGGGCTTCCTGCTGGACCCGGTGAAGGGCGAGCGGCTGACCGTCGACGAGGCTGTGCGCAAGGGCCTGGTGGGCCCTGAGCTGCACGACCGGCTGCTCTCGGCAGAGCGGGCCGTCACCGGCTACCGCGACCCCTACACCGAGCAGACCATCTCACTCTTCCAAGCCATGAAGAAGGAGTTGATCCCCGCTGAGGAGGCCCTGCGGCTGCTGGACGCCCAGCTGGCCACCGGCGGCATCGTGGACCCGCACCTGGGCTTCCACCTCCCGCTGGAGGTGGCCTACCAGCGGGGCTACCTCAACAAGGACACGCACGACCAGCTGTCGGAGCCCAGCGAGGTGCGCGGCTACGTGGACCCCTCCACCGACGAGCGCCTCAGCTACACGCAGCTGCTCCGGCGGTGCCGCCGCGACGAGGCCAGCGGCCAGCTGCTGCTGCCGCTCTCCGACGCCCGGAAGCTGACCTTCCGCGGCCTGCGCAAGCAGATCACGGTGGAGGAGCTGGTGCGCTCCCAGGTCATGGACGAGGCCACGGCGCTGCAGCTGCAGGAGGGCCTGACGTCCATCGAGGAGGTCTCCAAGAACCTGCAGAAGTTCCTGGAGGGCACCAGCTGCATCGCCGGCGTCCTCGTCGACGCCACCAAGGAGCGGCTGTCCGTGTACCAGGCCATGAAGAAGGGCATCATCCGGCCCGGCACGGCCTTCGAGCTGCTCGAGGCGCAGGCGGCCACCGGCTACGTCATCGACCCCATCAAGGGGCTCAAGCTGACCGTGGAGGAGGCCGTGCGCATGGGCATCGTGGGGCCCGAGTTCAAGGACAAGCTGCTGTCGGCCGAGCGCGCCGTCACGGGCTACCGGGACCCGTACTCGGGGAAGCTGATCTCGCTCTTCCAGGCCATGAAGAAGGGCCTGATCCTGAAAGACCACGGCATCCGGCTGCTGGAGGCGCAGATCGCCACGGGCGGCATCATCGACCCCGAGGAGAGCCACCGGCTGCCCGTGGAGGTGGCCTACAAGCGCGGCCTGTTCGACGAGGAGATGAACGAGATCCTGAGCGACCCTTCGGACGACACCAAGGGCTTCTTCGACCCCAACACGGAGGAGAACCTCACCTACCTGCAGCTGATGGAGCGCTGCGTGGAGGACCCCCAGACGGGCCTGCGCCTGCTGCCGCTCAAGGAGAGGAAGCGCGAGCGGAAGACGTCCTCCAAGTCCTCGGTGCGCAAGCGCCGCGTGGTGATCGTGGACCCCGAGACGGGCAAGGAGATGTCGGTGTACGAGGCCTACCGCAAGGGCCTCATCGACCACCAGACGTACCTGGAGCTGTCCGAGCAGGAGTGCGAGTGGGAGGAGATCACCATCTCGTCCTCGGACGGCGTGGTCAAGTCCATGATCATCGACCGGCGCTCCGGCCGCCAGTACGACATCGACGACGCCATCTCCAAGAATTTCATCGACCGCTCGGCCCTGGACCAGTACCGCGCCGGCACGCTCTCCATCACCGAGTTCGCGGACATGCTGTCCGGCAACGCCGGCGGCTTCCGCTCCCGCTCCTCCTCCGTGGGCTCCTCCTCTTCCTACCCCATCAGCCCCGCCGTCTCCAGGACCCAGCTGACCTCCTGGTCCGACCCCAGCGAGGAGACGGGCCCCGTGGCCGGCATCCTGGACACAGAGACGCTGGAGAAGGTGTCCGTTACGGAGGCCATGCACCGCAACCTGGTGGACAACATCACCGGGCAGCGGCTGCTGGAGGCGCAGGCCTGCACCGGGGGCATTATCGACCCCGTCACCGGCGAGCGCTTCCCCGTCACCGACGCCGTCAACAAGGGCCTGGTGGACAAGGTCATGGTGGACCGCATCAACCTGGCCCAGAAGGCCTTCTGTGGCTTCGAGGACCCGCGCACCAAGACCAAGATGTCGGCCGCCCAGGCCCTGAAGAAGGGCTGGCTCTACTACGAGGCGGGCCAGCGCTTCCTGGAGGTGCAGTACCTGACCGGGGGCCTCATCGAGCCGGACGTGCCGGGCCGCGTGTCCCTCGACGAGGCCCTGCAGCGCGGCACCGTGGATGCCCGCACCGCCCAGAAGCTGCGCGACGTCGGCGCCTACTCCAAGTACCTCACCTGCCCCAAGACCAAGCTCAAGATCTCCTACAAGGACGCGCTGGACCGTAGCATGGTGGAGGAGGGCACGGGGCTGCGGCTGCTGGAGGCCTCCGCCCAGTCCAGCAAGGGCTACTACAGCCCCTACAGTGTCAGCGGCTCCGGCTCCACCGCCGGCTCCCGCGCCGGCTCCCGCACCGGCTCCCGGGCCGGCTCCCGCCGCGGCAGCTTCGACGCCACCGGCTCCGGCTTCTCCATGACCTTCTCTTCCTCCTCCTACTCTTCCTCAGGCTATGGCCGCCGCTACGCCTCGGGGCCCTCGGCCTCCCTGGGGGGCCCCGAGTCTGCAGTGGCCTGACCCCCTGCCTGCACCCTGCCCCTCCCGCTCTGCATGCGTTCAGGCTCCCTGCCCAGGGCCGGGGTCTCTCTCGAACGTTTAAAGGTGTCTTCCTCCCAAGCTGTGCCTCAAGTTTAACCAAAAAAGACCAGACTAACACGTTAATCTCTCTCTTTCTCTCTTCCTCTCTCTCTCTCTCTTCCTCTCTCTCTCCGCTGTCCAGGCAGCTTGTAGTGGGGGGGCAGGGCCAGCCCAGCCTCACTGACCACCTCACCCTCCTCGGGTCTCCCCACTCCCTTCTCCTTGCCACTCACCACAGCCAGGTGCCTTGGAGGGTCCAGAGCCGAGCCCCCAGCCCACTCTTCCTCTCTCCCCAGGGAGGGCTCTGTCTAGGCAAGAGCCCCAGTCCCGTGAGAGCCAGCACCCCCCCCACCCCGTGCCCACCTGCCAGCCCTAGCTGCCGAGGACTCCCCGGGCCATCCCAGGCCAGCCGGCGTCTGCTTCCCGGTGTGTTGCCAGGGCAGACCCGTGGGTGTTGCTGGCGAAGGGCGGATGTCCCTGGCCGGCGTCTCTCCCCGCCTGCCCGGAGCAGCTGCTTCCCCATGGGAAGAAGAGGGTTCAGGCTGCAGAGTCAGCTGGCCCGGGCGTGCCACAGCCCGGTCAGCCCCTGCCCGGCTCCCGCAGCTGCTCACGCCCGCTTCCCCGCCACACATGGCCCCGGGCCCCGGGCCTCTTGGCTTCAGCCTCAGCTCCCTAGAAAGTGCCTTCCGTGTCTCTCCTGCTGCCCCAGGCCCACGGACTGACCCAGAGTGGGAAGCGGGCACTCCCCGTGGGGCGTGGCTGGGGGGGGTCCTCCTGCTGGGGTGCTACCGGCCAGGCCTGCTCCCAGGGAGCCCCAGCCCCCAGAACAGACTCAGCTCCTACTTGGCCCGGGGACATTGGCCGGGCTGCCTTCTGACCCTAGCACCCCGCTGGTGCCCCTCGCCCTCCCCTGTTCCACCCAGCCCTTGCCCTTGGTGGCTCCCACCCCTGCTCCACCTCTGGCTGAGCTTTGCATGTTCCACTAACCTGGGCTGGCGGCAGGTGGAGGTGCCAGGTGCGCGGCGCCTCTGTGAGGGCAGAACACTAACCTGACCATGGGCGGGGGCCCTGCGGCCTCTGCCCCCAATAAAAGCAATTCCAGTCTTCCTGTGGGTCCTGCCTCATTTCTGTGTCCCTGGGTCAGGGTGGCTGCTGCTGCCCCAGGCTCTGAGCTTGGCCGAGACGGGAGGAAGTGAGTGTCCATGGGCAAGAAAACCCGGTGGTGGCTGGTGTCCAGGGTGGGGCCATGCCCAGGCCTGGCCTGCTGATGGTGGCCTGGCCCTGCTGCCCGGGCCGGCCCTCGGCCCAGGGCTGGCGCTGCGGGTGCTTGGGTCTCATGCCCCCCCGCCCCGCGGGTGAGCTGGCCCCTGCGGGCCAAGGGCATCTCTGTCTGGGGAAGGGTCTGCCTTGCAGCCTCAACCACTGTCTGCGCCTGGCCCATCGGCCCCACACTTCCTGTGCTGAGGTTGCCCGACCTGGACTTGCTTCTCCAGGGCTCTGACTGGGTGCGGTTTCTGGGGGGACACACCCAGCCCTGCTGCAGCCGCTGGCCCTGGGGCCGGAGAGATGGCGCCTTCCTGGACCCAAGCTCTGGCTCCACTTTGCCCACGTGAGAGCTTCCCAGCTGCGGCCTGTTGGTGGTCCGGGACCCCTGCCACACTACAGCTGTGTGCACCCGGGCTGGGGGTGGGGCGGCCACAGCTCTCCTGTGGGCCCAGGACCCCTGAAGTGGCAGGGACGGGAGGCGTGTTCCCCAGCGGGTCACGGGGTGGTGGGAGCTGCTCCAGCTCCCACCCCGTGGTTCCTGGACCTGGACAGTGGACGGTCACCCCGTGGCTTTGGAGTGGACCTTGTCCTGGAGCGTGGCAGCACGGTCCTGAGATGTCGCCAGGACGGCGATGCCCAGCAGTGGCTCCTGGGAGGGGGCAGGAGACGTGAGTGCACAGCTGACCCCGGCTGACTCCTCTGCAGGGGGGAGGGGCCCGGCCAGCGCCTGAGTCACGTGGCTCTGTGGCTGGTGAAGCGTCAGAGGCCTCTGGAGGTCTACACCGCTGGAGACAGGATGTTCTGCTGGGAGAGGGCGCCATGGCCCGCCCATGCCCCTGCACCTTGGTGGCTCTGGGAATTCTGGGTAGCTGGTGTCTGCTGGCCAAACCATTGGTCCATGAGTACTTTGGTGTCCTGGTACACATCAGCTCTCAGCGAAGATCCCATGCCCTGTGTCCATCTGGTGCCTCCTCTCCGTCTCCTGGTCCTCTCAGACCCTGACCAACCAGCCTAGTCCCTCCCTACGTGAGCTGCCGTCCTGGGCCTGTGAGGTGGACGGCCCAGTGCCTGGCAGAAGCTCTGGCCAGGGATTGCCCTACCCTGTGTCCCGGCGCTGGGCCTGGGTGGAGCCCAGCAAAGCACACTGGCTGCCGTGAGCAGACCTGGACTTTGACCACTTCCGTCACCTGTCACAGGGCCCCTCTGTGAGGCCAGGGCGTGGGGGGGGGGGTGCTGGGACACCCACCCATGCAGCCTTCTGGCCTGCGCAAGCCTGCACCCAGGTGTCCACCTGGCCTTACCCTGGGTTCTCACGGAGCCCACCACCCTGGGTGCCTGCTGGGTCCGATGCGCTGGCTCCTGACCGGGGCTGGGGCTGCACAGTCGCCACTCACTTCATGGCAGACGGGACACCCTCGCTTCAGAACCGAGGGCCTGGGCTGCCGGCTCGGAGACCCCACGCCCCCCCCCCACATGGGTGGGTACTTCCCGTACGAGGGGCCCGCGGGGCGTCTGGGCTAAGTGGTGGGACTCGGCGTCACAGCCCCTGTCCTCGTCCCAGTCCCCTCTGGGAAGCAGAGGCCTCCACGTGGCCTGGCGAGTGTGTTGTGAGCTGTGAAACCCAGAGAGCTCTGCGTGGAGGGCCATGCCCGACATGCCCAGGCCTGCCACAGCCTTTGCCGAGGTGCCCGCCTCGAGCCTCGGCCGGCTTCTCCCACTCCGAGTGCGCTCAGAGTCCCCGCTGCTGCCCGCGTGTCAGGCTGGCTTAGCGGGCGGGCGTGTCCTCTGTGAGGCAGGCAGCCCACGCCCGTCAGAATAGACTGAGACGAGACAGGGCCGAAGGGCTGTGTGCTGGCCTCTGTGCCCACATGACCGTGCACCTTTGTCCCCACCCCACCCCGCCCCCGACCAGGTGCATGCAAACCCTGACCTCCTGTCTGTAGGGAAAAGGGACCGTGACCGCATCACCGACAGAGACCTTGTCAGGACGGGAGCGGCTGCAGGCGGAGGCCTTCGTGGCACGCTGGATCCGCTCAGGTCGTGTAGAGAGCTGACCAGTGAGTGGGAAAATGGTGACATCGCCCTGTCCTCTGCGTGTTGGCACTGCTGCTAGGCTGGGCTGCTCCAGCCGAGACGCTGTGCTGTTTGTAGCTTGTGATCCTGGCTATGGTGGGTGGACTCCTCCTCCTAATAGTGATTTTTTTCTTTAAGATTTATTTTATTTATTTGAAAGAGTTACAGAGATGTAGAGACAGAGAGGTCTTCCACCCACTGGTTCACTCCCTGGATGGCTGTAATGGCCGGAGCTGCATCCATCCGAAGCCAGGAACCAGGAGCCTCTTCCGGGTCTCCCAGGTGGGTGCAGGGGCCCAAGGACTTGGGCCATCTTCCACTGCTTTCCCAGGCCACAGCAGGGAGCTGGATTGGAAGTGGGGCAGCCGGGTCTCGAATTGGCACCTGCCCCGGCCCGCGGGGTAATCAACTAGGACACGAAGGAGGGCAGACCTGAATGGAGAGACAAACCAGACACGAGAAGGGAGACCAAGACAGTACTCTGATCAAGGTCTCACTTTATTGGAGAAGGAAGTGGCTTATATAGTACAAGGCAAGAATTGTACAGTGGAGGGTAAGCAGGGGTCATCTCACAACATAGATCAAAGGAATAATTTCACAGGAACCAGCATCAATTTGACAAAGGGAGTTACAGCGAGGTCTTACAGCTACCAGACGTGCTTATCAAGGTACAAGAAAGAGAGCATTGAAGCCAGATGGCCAAGCGCTAACCATATCAGTGAGCTGTACAAATGGAATTTTCTAGTGAATCCTCCTTACAGGAACACAGCTGAAGGTTAGTCTAAACAAAGGCCTATACAGGGAAACCAGCACAGTGGCTCCCAACAGGCGCCCATATGGGATGCCAGCGCTTCAGGCCAGGGCGTTCACCCGCTGCGCCACAGCGCTGGTCCCACCAGCTGCTTTTCTTTTTTAAAGATTTGTTAGTGCAGCCAGGGCTGTGCCACAGTGGGCTAAGCTGCTGCCTGCAACGCCGGCATCCCATAAGAGCGCCAGTCCACATCCTGGCTGCTCCGCTTCTTGTTTTTTATTTTCCTACATTTTATTTATTTATTTTGATTAGGTAATAACATTCACATGATTTAAAATCGAAAAGGAACAAAAGGGCAGGAAGACGAAAACATTCCTCCCTCCCTGTCTCCCGGGTCCCTGCCCCATAGGTAGCTAACAGCCGCTTTCTCACAGATCTTTTTTTTTAACATTTACTTCTAGTTTGTTGTTTATTTTTAGAAAGCTTTTATTTAATAAATATGAATTTCCTAAGTACAACTTTTGGAATATAGCAGTTCTCCCCCCCCCCATGCTGGCCCTCCCACCCCCAAACTGTCCCACCTCCTATTCCCTCTCCCATCCCATTCTTCATTAAAATTCGTTTCTAATTCTCTTTATATACAGAAGATCAACTCTATACTAAGTAAGCATTTCAACAATTTGTACCCACACAGACACACAAAGTACTGTTTGAGCACTAGTTTTGCCGTTAATTCTCATAGTACAACTCATTAAGGAGAGAGGTCCTACATGGGGAGTAAGTGCACAGTGACTCCCATTGTTGATTTAACAATTGACATTCTTATTTATGACATCAGTGATCACCCGAGGCTCTTGTCATGAGCTGCCAAGGCTATGGAAGCCTCTTGAGTCCACAAACTCCATCAGTATTTAGACAAGGCCATAGTCACAGTGGAAGTTCTCTCCTCCCTTCAGAGAAAGGTACCTCCTTCTTTGATGGCCCCTTCTTTCTGCTGGGATCTCACTCACAGAGATCTTTTATGTAGGCCATTTTTGTTTTTGCCGCAGTGTCTTGGCTTTCCATGCCTGAGAAACTCTCATGGGCTTTTTAGCCGGATCCGGATGACTTAAGGGCTGATTCTGAGGCCAGAGTGCTGTTTAGGGTATTTGTCATTCTATGAGTCTGCTGAGTATCTCGCTTCCCATGTTGGATCATTCTTTCCTTTTTAATTATATCAGTTATTATTAGCAGACACTGGTTGTTGCTGTGGATTCGTTCTGAGAGGAGCATGGTGGGGGCGAGAGGCATGGAGTCACCACACAGAACCCAGGAGTCGGGTGAAAGTGGGCCAGAAGCAAACAGCCTGCAGACTCATTTATTTCAGTTGCTACAGCAGCTTAAATAGCCAAGGCAGCCAATCTGGTCATGGGGCGGTCTATGCCCTAACCAATCATACCCTGTTGCCATGCAGTTTCCGAAGCCATCCAGTCACAGCCTGTTGCCAGGCAGGCTCCATTGCCAGTGGCCATCCTGGATACAGCCTTCTCATTCCACCACATTTCCCCCTTTTCATTTATTTTTGAGCAATGGGAGGCATGATTCTTGACCATACCATTGTTGACCCTGTTTCCATGTGGTCTCCGTTCGTGGCTATGCCTGTCTTAGGTTGTCCCCCAGGGGATCTTATCATCATTGACTAACAAGCGCTCAAAATGGGAGACCACAGGAGTGCTTGCTCAGATGGGGATAGGAATGAGGAACGGTGGTAATCAGGAATGGCATGACTGCACACAGGCTGTGGGCCGTTCGAGTGGCTGACCAGAGCTTATTTATATGATCCCTTTGACACTGATTCCCATCTTTATAATCAGTTATGCACTTAAGCTGATCACTTTAACTAGTAAGATGGCATTGGTACCTGCAGTTTTACCCTTAGGGGTAAGTCCGTGGGAATGTGTGCCAAACTGTACATCTCCTCCCTCTCTTATTCCCACTCTTATTTTTTACAGGGATCAATTTTCAATTGGATTTGAA